GTGAGGATTGAACGAACTGCCTGATTTCGTTACGAACGACGTCCGTAAGAGCAGCGCTACTGGGAGGGGACGCTGCATGAAATTTCCGAAGTTCTTCGCGTATAACTTGCCGTATGAGTTCTGTGAGGACCTCCCTGTTATCACGTCCTGGTACAAGCGAGCATGCAGCGGACATGGCCGTCTGACGCTCTTACTGCGACACCCGCTGCCGAAGCATGCGCTCCATAATTGTGGCCTCACATATGAACTCGGACACAGTCGTACGAGGGTTGCGCACAAGGCCCGCGAAAAGTTGCTCCTTTACGCCTCGCATTAGCAGGCGCACTTTCTTGTCTTCTGGCATGTGGGGGTCAGCCCGTCGAAACAATCGCGACATTTCTTCGACAAACATGGCGACGCTCTCGTTCGGCATTTGAAATCGCGAAGAAAGTGCCTGCTCCGCTCTGTCTTTCCGTTCGGGGTTACTGAACGCCTCGCGAAGCTGCCGATGGAATTCCTGCCAACTTGTGAATGAAGTTTCGTGGTTCTCATACCACACTCTTGCCGCGTCTAAGAGGGAGATATACATGTCCTTCAACTTACGCCGATAGTCCCAGTCGTTGATGGCAGCGACTCGGTCGAAATGGTCAAGCTAGTCTTCGCCATCCTCACTGGCATCACCATGGAATGGGTTGGGTGTGCGAGGCGTGTTGATGACACAGGGTACGCTTGCGATTGGGTCATGCTCGGTTTGGGTTGCGGATGTGGCAAACATTGTCCTCACGGAACTTGCCAAGGGGCCGTACTGTGGTGGTAGTCCTTGAAGGCGGCGGCTGCTTCGATAGATGTCAGCAGACCCTGGTGCACTGGCGGTGTTGCTTCTGGTTCAGGACCAGCAGGCATAAGACGTTGCAGCACAGTACCCAGCACGTCCACCAGTCTGTCCCGAGAGGAAACGATAGGCAAGAACTCGAAGTGGAGGACTGTTTACTCAGCCACAGCTGCCATTCACTTCTTCGCTTTCGTCTTCTGCCACCAACACAGCGTGGCAATATTCAGCAGTGCTTGAATTCATTATGAATTATTTTCACCGGTATGTCACAGTTTCGCGGGGCCACATGGTCGGCTGTGTTTAACTTGACACCAGAACTGCTCTTGCACATAGCTCAGTGCTCTTTGAAACCGAAACTGCGACTGGGCACTCTAAAAACCTCTCTAAATAAATAACTGTGCGAACAAGGTTTCCAGCCGTGGTAAGTGGGTCATAACTGGCCTATTACAATGAAAAAATACAAATTGCAAATTTTTCATGTCGGTGCTCCTTTAACACAACATAGCGTGAAATAAGATGCCTTCTCTTCTCTCCTGGTAAAGATCGATCAAACTGAAATGCCACGCCACTTTGATCTAAACAGGTTGTCAATAAAAGGAGTGGTCTTCAGACACATTCAACCTGTTTCTTGTTATGTTTGCTCTTCAAATATTCAAGCCTAGAAAAAGTATTCTCACACGCATACATCAGAGAAAACTGAAACAAAAGCTAGAGAAAGGGAAGCTTGAGCCAGCTCTGCCGCAACGCAAAGCTGTGATGCGATGAAGCATACAAACAAGATGAAGCTGCTGTCATGGAACACCTCTATACAACACCTTTTCATTCTTTCTTTTTTTTTTTGAAGAGCAGGCTTCGCAGATCCCCGAAAATGACGTCGCAGATACCAATTTGAGAACCACTGTGGTAGAGCAACAGACGCATCATTTGGAAGTAGTAGGTTTGGTACCTGCTGCTGGCAAGTTGTTTGATCATTAACTTTAATTTTTTCGAATTTAGTATATCATAATTATAACAAATAGCAACACCTATACTTTACTTGACTTGATTGTCTGTTGATTCTCATGAATTTGTGTCCAATAAATAAAAATGAGCCCTTCAATTCCCTTTCTCTGGTTCAGTTGTTTCTCGTACTCCGCTGTAAAATGTTGGCAGATGGTCGCTACAACACTGTGCAGTCTCTTAGCAATAAAATGTTTTTCTCGCAGCTTTCTCCAACCTCTAACCAGAGCTTTGCACAGGTAAAACTCCACCTGAGCAGCACGCTCATTAGATTTCTAGCAAAATGCATCACTTGACGATTAAAGGTACCAATACCGCTCAGTAAACGAGACACATCATGGCACGGTCATCAACAGCAAATGTGAATCACTGGTGTGAACCGGCCCATCACGTCAACTAAATATTGGGCACGAAACAGTGACACAGAAATTATGCATTACGGAACAATGGCACACGTTACGAATAGGTGCAGTGGAAGAGCACCCAGCTGCACCACATGTGGCAGGACTGCAACCTGCACAGCAGCTGCGAGAGTTGCCTTCAGCGGCAAGCATTGGGGCGCTGCTGCAACATTTATGAAAGCTGCTGGCCACCGAGACGAAAAACCCCTTCAAGCTTAATATTTTTGCTCACCAATATGGTTAGAGAAAATTTGGTCAACAATACAGGTTGAGAAGGTCCTATCAGGTGAAATATGTGATGAAAATAAATAAACCATTGCATAGTTTCTCTTGGGAGTTGACTGGTTGATGCATAAGTGTGCAGAGTTATACCGTATCTTGTGGTAGTAGCCGTCTCTCGCATACCAGTGTCGGGCAGACTCGACATGGAATTTTTCTTTTTTTTTTCTAGCATTTGACTGCATCCAGGACTGCCCAATAGAAGCACAAACTTAAAATTGCCCTAATGTGGACAATATGCAAAGCCACATCAGCTTTACATGCTTTCCTAAAGGGGGCTTTCTCTTCCACCACAGCAAAATACTTGCACAAGGTATCGTAGAAAGCGTTTTTTAGGGGCGAAGCTCTTTATAGCGGCACCCGTTCGTCCCGCGTCCCGTCGTAGTATGTAACCAGTCTTACGCTTTGATCTGCAAGGTGGTGCCAAGTATAACATTTTGACCTCCAAGGTGGTGCCGGTGAGAGATTTCTTCTGTGCGTTGTTTAACAATAAAAAATAGTGCTCAATGTACATGCGAATGGCTGCTAATGGGGAATGAGAGACAGGAGCATTCGGCTTTTAGTCAACGCGCACGCTGCGATCCCCATTAGCAGCCGTTGGCATGTACATTGAGCACTATCGGACAAGAAAGGGTTGCTACATTATACTCGCTGGGTGTAACGTCCCTAGTTTTAGAAAGGTTTAGCGAGCGTTGAGCCGCAGGGCCATGAATACAATGAACTAGTATATACCATGAATGAATTCGAGGTGGTTAAAGGGGGGAAGCAGATACGAAGTGCAAGTCGTAAGAAATTAAAAGCTCAATCCTCCTGTCTCTCATTTCACATTAGCAGCCACTGGTATGTACATTGAGCACTATCTGACAGGTAAAGGTTGCTACGTTATACTCGCTGGGCGTAACCTCATTGGTTTTAGAAAGGTTTAGCGAGCATTGGGCCACAGTGCAATGAATACAGTGAACTAGTATATACCATGAACTCAAGGTGGTTGAAGGTGGGAAGTAGACCCGAAGCGCAAGCCGTAAGAAAGTGTGCGTGTGCCACCTCTTGTTTAGTCCATGGAATGTCCACTGAATGGCGGTGCTTCTATATGGGGAATATATGATAAAAAGATGCGAGTTGGTGGGACTTGGAGTGTTGAATAGATGGATGAATGGACACACAGACAGATGCATGGATGGACGCATCAATGGACGCAGGGGCGGATGCATGAACGAACGCAGGGACGGGCTCAGGAACAGACGCATGGACGGTCACACAGACGTACGCATGGACGGACGAATGCTTCGCCCCACTCTCCATCATTCACTCCGTGGATATGCTGCAAACTTTTTTTTTCCCACGTGTTCTGCACTGCCAAAATGCAATCATATGGTTCAGATATTCTACATGCTGCAAGCAACACAGAGGTTCAACACAGAGGGTGAAAGGTTTGTCATACGAGTGTGGGACCCTAGGTTTAAAACCTAGCGGCTGGCAGAGAACTTAATTATTTATCTTTTTACCTTTATTTCATTATAGCAGTAGATCTAATGTAGGGTTGTGCGGATAGTAAATTTTATGTTCGAAGCTAATAGTGACTTTGTTTGAATCATTTCGAACTGCACTTGAATAGTCTATATCACATATTATAAAGAAAAGATGGCTACATTTGTCGTGGCCCAACTAGCCAGTACACATTTTTTTTTAATTGAAACAAGGCATGTACAAATATCATTCGTTTTGGTTCAACGGAAATAAAAGCAAATTTTGATATTCGCAGAATTCGACTTTCAGTAGAATGAGGTGGACCCGTAAGCTATGTTACATTTTAAAATTTGCAATATCTGGAGCATACATGCTGGCATAACAATATTTTAAACTTAAAAAAAAAAGAACAGATCTACGAGCAGTTCATTTACCTAGAAGCGGCAGTGCAGAATTTCTTTGAGATACCTACTCACAGGAGAGCACCCGTCCACTGCAGTGAAACCACCTCTACAGAAGAGGAGCAGGGAGGCTCACATGCATTTGTCATTTCGAATACCTTGAAATTGCCAATAACATTAATTCGAAAAGAAGCGAATTCGACTATGTTAGACTGAAATACGTGACGCAAGGTTGCCGATGGGAAGAACGAGAAGAGACAGACTTCTCATTGGCAACCTTGCGCCACGCATTTCAGTCTAATATGTACCAACTAGCCCAACATAACGTACTGTTGATTATGTTAATATTCGTTCAAATATTTGCAGTGCTCGAATATTTGCACAAGCCTAGTCTAACATGACAGTGCGATGGATAAATGGACACACAGTTCTCTCTTTCAGTTGGCTTAGATCTTAAACATCCAAGAGGTTGGCTAGTGTTTAAAAAACTATGGCAGTTGCTCCTAATAGTGGCCCAACGGGTGTGCACCATTGCTACTTTATATGGTCGAGAGCACCTCGGGAAAGTTTTCACCCAAAGAGCGCACAACTCTCATCGTTGTAAAGATTCATACACGTGGGGTATACGAACAAGCCTCTCACCCTGAGGATGTGTGCGGACTCCAGCATCTCGGCCATAAATGTAGAGACGCCCTTAAGCTGCTGGTCACCAGCTCCGATGCGCGTCAGCACGGCATCCACAACCGTCAGCTCGGCAGAATCACATGGCACAAAGCTTCCCACTTGAGCCATGAGCACTGCTAGGGCCACCTTGTGGAACAAAGGTTAGATGACAACTCTGAATTCAGGAAGCTAGTGCCAGTCACAAAAACACATTAACACATGTGGGGACACAGCACCACTCAAGACTTTGTTATGTACTTGCACATAAGCTTTCTCATTAAGTCACCTAAACCAACGTTTCACAAACTATTAAAGAGAAAAACAAATTTCTGCCTATGCTGCCTTGTTTATGCTGATAATTTCACAGCAACAAAAGAAAATTTCATAGCAAGAAAGCAACACTTAGGACTGCAAATTGCTTTATCATGAAAAAAAAAACAATGTTATTGCTCATATGGAAAGCTCATACAAAGTGATTATACAACCAAGGTACTATCTGTAATGTTGCCCTGCTTGACTATGGCATCCTCTACATGCTGAATCATAGCTTTAAGGGCTTTCAGTAACCACTATAGCACACAACATATACACATAAATCTGCAACTTCTTGCTTGACGAACAAGGCAAGTAATAACTTTAAGTGTTAGGTTAAACAACTCTGACCCTAAAATCTAATCTGGCTGTAAAAAGTACATTTATACCCCAACGTAAAAAAGTGGACAAAATCAGCAATTTGCTTTGCTATATCTAAACTTTGGCAAGTTAAAGTTCTGCCTCTAATGGGGCATCATGTCACTAAAAAATTCACTTTTACACATAAACTGCCACATGAATCTTAGAATACTATAGCTGTATGACAATTAAAAAAACTTATTTCAATAGAGATAAAAAATCCCTTTGATTGCATCTGAGATTGAACAATCATAACATGATGCCATGCCACTGAAGTCTTTTTCAGAATAGCCTTACATCCAGTGTAATGCCAAAAAAAAAAAAAAATATTTCCAATGCGCAGTGTTAAGACATGTTAAGTAAGACTATTGCACATATTCTGCCATCAGAACCTGCACCAATGCGTTGCCTCAATGGTTCAACAATGCGTTGCCTCAATGGTTGCCTCAACAGTGCCTCAATGGTTCTAATGTGTATTCAAAGATTGCTAGGGGCACTGCTGAAGTGCACTTCAGAGCACTAACAATTGCAGGAGTACAGAGGACACATGGTCTGCTGTGTGAAGCACAAGCACTTAAGGGGGGGAAGAGGCACTTAGCCATCAGGCATCTTATTATTTGAGCTAGGGTGATAAAAACTTATGAGATGGTGTATTTACACGTGCAGATGTCAAATATGAACTCAGTTTTTTATGTACCTCTTACCATTTAGTTTTTAATTAGTCATTAATTAAAAGTTATTTTGATCATGTTTCAGTAAGCTGGCTCTACAGTTCTTGGCTGAATTAAATGTCATTGCATTCTACAATTAGCGAAGAGTGCAAAGAGCAAGTTTATGGCTCTAGCTTTCCTACAACAAAAGTTATAAAGTTTAGAAGTTCATCCTTCCATTATCAAGGAACAATAATTTTTGTATTTCATTTTTTCTAAAAATTTATGGTGTCCTATAGTTGCATATGGCCCTTTCTTGCACTCACCAAGCATCCAGCTTCTCAGCAAGGACAAAAATTATCAAATTCCAGTGTACTAAAGCTGAGAAGCGATTGTCAGAAGAATGAAAGGTGGCCAAAAAACTGAAACCTGAGAAAATGGCAAAAAACAAAGCTCTGTATATTCAAGGAATTCTCCACGAACAAAAATGCTTCTCTTTGCATAGAAATGCCTCAGAAAGCACCAGGGCAGTAGTCTTTGTCACACTTTTGTTGTTGGCGCCGCTTTGCTAGTTGCAGGGAACCTGGAAGATCCTGAACGCTTTCGCTCGGCACTCATGATCCGACGAGAATCCTTCTCTTCTACCCATCGCTCGCTCATGGAGTTTTGCTATAGCTGAAGTTCTTTGAGGATACGTGTGGAGGCTTCTTTCATTCATGAATTGAAGCGCATCACGGCCTCAGCAACAGCAGTCTCAATAGCTATTAGTGAAGCATGCTTCTCTTTAGGCATTAGAGGACCGTTTGACAAAATGGAGTGCCTCGTTGCATTTTGTGTCTTGCCTTTTTGGCAGTTCCTTGTCACAAAGTCGCTCGTAGACTGGAAGTAGTGCATCACGGATATTTTGTGGAAAGTTGTAGGTGTGTCTTGGCAGCGGTTCTCCCCTTGCAGCAGAAGCATTCTGCTTGCACCATTAGTCACTGCAACTTGGGCACAAGGTGTGGTTGGACCTCTTCATCAGTCGAGGTCACATGATAATATGTGGCCATGGCGGCCTGGTGCATTGCATCTACGTCACCAACATTGGACTTCAGAGCCCAGCCAGTAGTATCTCGACAATTTCTCTATGACATCACCTGTCAAGCGGCCTCTTCCACTTAGTGTTTCACCAGAACCTTTATGCTTTTGAACAAGATTGCGTAGTGCAGTAGCAATTTGTTTTTGAACATGGTTTATGCAGTCCTCTTTTTGAACCTTAATGAAACCATAAACTGTTGAGTCTTCAACAGCACGAAATGATCTACTGTCCCCATCACACAGCACCACTCTGTACCGCAAGCCGTGACAAGAAATTGAGCGCTCAAGGAGAGCGACTGCTGCCTCCACTTCCATGTGCCCTGATCTGCACTCTGTATTTTTTTGGCAGATGTGCGATGATTCCCAAACCAAGTAATTTGGGTGCTCTTTTGGTGGTGTGCGCTTGCAGCCGGCACAAAAATTTGACAGGACAACATAGTCTAAAACATAGCTAGAAAACAGCTCTATAATAACACCCACACCAATGTGCGACAGGTGGCCTCTGGTCATCCATGTGCCATCATAACAGATGGCCACATTACCTGGGTTGTCAAAGCGCAGATCTTGGTATAATGTTTTTACTGACATGGCACAATCAGAGAGGACCTTGTCTGCAGCTCTTGTTGCCACAGGATTCAGTTTATTTTTCAAATGATTCTGATAGCTTTTGTGGTGAAGTCACCTGTGAGAAATTCCCATTACAGAGAAGATGTCGTTTAGGGCTGCCTGGCCATTTTCTATGCTTTGCACAGCACGAGACCCACGGATATTGACTTCGAATGCAGCGTATTTAGCCTGACTGGGTACCCTCCCAGAGCTCCACTCAGTGTCAACAAGTCTACAGTTGCAGCACTCTGAAATCAGCTTCATCGCAAGTCCATATTCACGCTCACATTTTTCAATAGAAATGGTCCTACTGTATGTCCGGCATTTAGCCATTCTTTCAAGAATGCTTGTTTATCGTGGATAAGTCGATCCCGTAGGTAGCTGCCGACCGGTCCGAGTCTTCGCGCGCTGTCGCGAACATTTGCAGCTTGCGCTTGCTCGCCGAACTTGCGGATAAGCTGCTGATCTTATGAGCACTCCCTTTCTGCTGTTGCGCACGATCGGCGCTTGTCAAAAAGGTTGTCTTTCCTTATGCACTGCCTATCACCGACTTCGTCCGAGGCGGCCGGGGAAACAGGCGGAGATGTCGGCATTTCATCCGACGGATCGTGTTCCGTCGCCGCGCCGTCCTGTACTAGGTGCGCGTTGGATATACCCGCGCCATTATCTCTTTTTGCCGTAGATTTCTTGCGCTTTTTCCAAACTTGTGAGCAGGTGCGGAACTTGCGATACGGCTTCGGCATTATGAAAGGTTCTCAAGCCAGGTTTAAAACGTGGCCAAGAGCGTAGGCCTAACGCACTAGCCCGGTGGCTGCGGCGCACTACGCCGGGCTGGTTCGGCGGCATGCCCGAATGTGCAGACTTGAGAAACATTTGCTCCAATTTCTCGCTAGCTCGCGCAAGTTCAGGAAGCCGACGAGAACAATGTACATGTGAGCGAGATACACTCGCCGCTTCATGTGCGCTCTACTGCCGCCCGCAGGAGACAGCTCAGGAAAACGTGGCCGAGAGCGCAGGCCTACCAGCACTGTCCCGGCGACTTCGTCGAGCTCGTTCAGCGCCGTACCAGTATACCGTCGAACGTAGGAGACTATACAGAGATGCTTGCTCTAATTTCTCGCTAGCTCACGCAAGTTCAAGAAGCCAACGAGTACAAAGTGACATACACTCGCCACTTCGCATGCGCTCTTCCTGCCGCACGCAGCAGACAGCCTCGGGAGGCCCGGCGAATCGGAAGGCGCGAATTTAGTCACTGTGCTCACCGCACCAATAGGCTCACGCGACGGGGCTTTTTTTTAAATGCGGATTCACAGCGTGCATACTGAGTGGAAGAAAACAAGTGTGGCAGGATATGAAAGAAAAAGGGCGACTCTTTCGAATGCGACCAAGACGGCTGCTGTAGCAAACGTAGAACGGCAACACCACAGCACTGAAAAAGCCGTTTTTCACGCGTCCATTGCTAAATATTCAGCTCACTAACGTCGCATAAACTACTCTCATGGCTAAATTACCAATCTAGGACGCGTGAAAATTGGCGAGATTATGCAGCGATAGTGGGAGAATCTAAATATAGCATTTTCAAAAAAACCATAATTTTTTAGCGATTTTCGGTCTCAAAGACCCGCTTCTCCCCTTAAGTACCAACATTTGTTGCCCTTTGTACAATCATATCTTAAGTGAAAAATGACAACACTCACTGATCGTATATAGGTCGATTTGCCCCCCATGTTTGGACCGGTGATAATGTAACAGGAACTGGAACCTGCGAGGAAGAAACGATAAGAAAGGTCGACGCCAACTATTTAGCCCACAGAGTTTGGTACTTCAAACCTCTGCGAGGACAGGCAGTTTCAACATCCAAGCTACAACATTGTCATTACAAGTTAGACATAACACTTATAAAAACAAGTACTGCACACTGCCAAGCAAACAGCACTAAATTGTCTAAAGAGACCTACATTATAAATTTCAAGATAAATACACACACAACCACGAAAGTAATAACATGCAAACGGTATCACACATGCAACCTCAGTTAAATGCCTTACACAACAGTACAGCTGGTGAAACCTGCAATTTTAGGAACATCTACTGCAAAATTATATTTTAAGTGAACGTGTTCCTACAAAAAATTTCCAACATCATCGAAATAACCTTTTTATATGTGCTAGTTATACAGCTCAAATCATTTATAATGTAATTACTTACAGTGTAGTACTAGCCATAATACATTAATTTCTACTCCCGTTTACCCTCATATACTTCATGTACAGTGTACCTTAACTGTGCAGTTGCCCGATATGAAAGACTGGCTATAAGGCGGCTGCTAAAAAATTCTCTGAGAAATGATGGAGTAAGCCCGCTTCTCAGAAGGGGTGCACTGTGCACAGATGGAGCAACGACCACGTTCTAAAGAGGAACGGACATGGAACGGGAACGAGTGAGAAGAGAAGGAAAGGGTGGGGAGTTAGGGGCATGGTTTAGAATGTGACAGAGAAGCCTTTGTCTGCTTCACTTCAGCTGCTTGACATGGGTGCCAAATAACTCACTTACAGTCCTTCTTAGGGAAAAAATAAAAACAGCATTAGTAGACGTAAGTCACCTTTGCGCATATCGACATCATTGGGGATAACGAATGCCCACATTTGAAAAAAGTGCACGTTAACACTAATTGTCTCTTTTGTAGCGAACTATGCGAACAACGACGAAGCAGCAAGAAATGGCAAGCCACAGCATTGGTGCACACGCGCGCCCCGAGCTTGCGCTTGTTTGTATTTTCAGCCTGGTGACGTTCCTCGCTCTACCGGCGTTCCTCGGCCTTCCAGTAGGTCTGTACGTAAATAAACTATGTGACGTCTGGTGGAGGTGTGTGGACTCCCGTAAAAACCTGGAACTTCGCTCCCGTAAGCTTCCCCCTCTACGTGACACGAACATGGCCACCAAGACGCCTCTCCAGGTGGAACCTTCGATCGTCCATGTCACTTGCGGCGCCGTGTATCCTCAATGAGATCCTTCTATGTTCACAGGCTCCACTACGTCGGACGTCGAAGATTGGTTGGCGAGGCATCACAAAGTCGGCGCAAGTAACAAATGGGATGACCCAAGTAAGCTGCGCTACGTCACGTTCTACCTTGCGGACACCGTGCAACTGTAGTTTAATAAACACGCAGCTGACATTCCTACGTGGTCTGCTTTCAAGACTGCTATTGCGGACGTTTACGTCACAGCGTTTACGTCACCCTGCGCAGCAACTAGGCGAGACCTACGCGGGCTACATTGAAGATGTGTTGCATTTATGCAACCGCGTCAACTCTACCATGCCTGAGGAAGAAAAATTCAGGCACATTTTGAAAGGCATTGACGACGGCGCCTTTCAGATGTTGCTCGCGAGAAATCCCCCCACAATTATTGCTGAGCTCGTTTCCCTCTGTCAGAGCTTCGATGAGTTGCGTAGGCAGCGCACAATTGCTCGTCAAGCCCTCACGACGCCTGACACGCTCGAGCTTGCACCTAGATGCCCATCCTACCGATCAGCAGCCGCTGCTTTCGACAATCAAGGACTTCGTCCGCGAAGAGGTAGCGCGCCAGCTGTCACTGCTGCCACTGACACATGAGCCCACGCAAGCTTTGGCACCAGACCTCCAACACGCCATTCGGACCCAAGTCGCTGAGGCCCTTCCTCTGATGCATCAGCAACCACCTGTCACTACGCCTCTCCCGTACGCCGCCGTCGCTGCTCGGCCTATGCGACAGATATGCCGTATGCTCAACCTGCCACGCCCCCCTATGTCGTACCTACAACCCCAATTGCTGCGCCGTATCCCTTCACGAGATCTTCAGCTCCATTTTATCGTTGCTCAGACGCCTGGAGGATGCCGGATAATAGGCCCATCTGTTTCGCCTGGGGTATCGCTGGACACATCGCCCGCCACTGTCGCCGAGATCCCCCTCCAGTTGACACCGTGGGCAGGCCAATTCCGTCGTCGTCTAGGACGCCATCAAGGTACACCACTGACGGTCATCGACCCTTTGCAAACCACCGGTCACCATCACCCCGACAACGCTCCCTGTCACCTATGCGTCGCCGACCTGCTACGGAAGAGGGACACTGATCGCTGCAGCTTCGGAGGCAACAGCTGCATACCATTCGAACTGCTTAAGGCCTCCATCTTTCTCGCCGCAAAATGTTATCGACGTCAATGTTGAGGGGACCGCTGCACAAGCGCTTATGAACACAGGAGCCGCCGTTTCCATGATCTGTGAAACCTTATGCTGCAAGTTGAAAAAGGTGACGACGCCTCTTTCAGGCCTGATGCTCTGCACGGCCAACTCGCAGTGCATAAAACCTACAGCTGTGTGCACTGCACGTGTCATTATCCAAGGTGAACTTTATGCCATAGAATTTTTTGTGCTGGCATCATGCTCCCACGAAGTCATTGTTGGATGGGACTTTCTTTCGCGTCATCGGGCCATCATAGATTGCTCACGTGCAGAAGTTGCCCTTACACCGCTGCCAACCTCTTGTTTGGTAGATTCTCTTTCTGAATCTTACAAACTTGTCATTGTTGCATACACGGAAATAGCACCGAGAACATCCACCCTTGTCGCCCTGACCTGTACAACCACTCCTGCCAGAACTGTTTTGTTCACTCCGTCTGACGTATTTACCCGCCGTCGTAACCTACACCTGCCCTTTGCCATACTCACCATGAAATCCGGCGCTGCCGCCATGCTCGTTGCAAACTCGCTATCGTCGCCAGTTACCTTACTTCGCGGAGAATGTTTGGGTGACATACAAGGTGTTGACCTCTTGGGCCCTCTAGAGTTTGCCGAACACTCACCTCACCTCCAGCTCAATGCTATGATGCCACCTGTGGCCACAGTGCCCATGCCATACTCATTCCAGCCCTCTGTTGCCGCTGAGCTATCGCCGACACAAAGACGCGAACTCTTGTCCCTTCTTCGAGAGTTCCGTTCTCTCTTTGATTGCGCTCAACCATCTTTGGGTTGCACAACGAACATCACGCACCACATTGACAGCGGTACTGATGCTCCCTTACGCCAACGACCATATCGAGTTTCAGCGGAAGAGCACCGTATTATCAACGAACAAGTCGACGATATGCTCAAGCGTGGTGTCATCCAGCCATCGCAGAGCGCTTGGTCGTCCCCTGTTGTACTTGTGCACAAAAAGGACGGGTCTATCCGATTTTGTGTCGACTACCGCCGGCTCAATAAGATAACTCGGAAGGATGTGTACACATTGCCACGCATCGACGATGCTCTCGATTGCTTGCAAGGAGCAGAATATTTCTCCTCTTTAGATTTACGCTCAGGATATTGGCAAGTTCCAATGGCTGATCCTGACCGATCGAAGACTGCATTTGTAACACCTGATGGGCTGTATGAGTTTAACGTCATGCCGTTTGGACTCTGCAACACCCCAGCTACCTTCGAACGAATGATGGACACCATCCTTCGTGGCTACAAGTGGAACACGTGCCCCTGCTACCTAGACGACATCGTCGTTTTTTCTCGCGACTTTTCAACTCACCTTGTTTGTCTTCGTGCTATTTTCACGTGTCTCACCTCTGCTGGCCTTCAACTTAACATCAAGAAGTGCCATTTTGCCGCACGTCAGCTCACTATACTGGGTCACGTCGTCTGCAAAGAGGGTGTTCTCCTGGATCCGGCGACACTACGCGTAGTGGCCGACTATCCGAAGCCCAATTCCATCAAGACGCTTCGAAGTTTTATCGGCCTGTGCTTATACTTTCGTCGATTTGTGCGCGACTTCTCTTCCATCATCGCGCCTCTTACCAACCTGTTGACAACTTCCAAAGGCATTTCTGCTTGGTCAAAAGAGTGCGACGAATCCTTCACCACGCTTCGCACATTATTATTGTCACCTCCAACACTACGTCATTTTGACCCCGATGCACCCACAGAGGTCCACACCGACGCCAGTGGTGTCGGTCTTGGTGCTGTATTGGCTCAACGGAAACCAGGATACCAAGAATACGTGGTCGCTTACGCGAGTCGAACCCTCAAGAAAGCCGAGTGTAATTATTCCGTCACTGAGAAAGAGTGCCTCGCAACTGTCTGGGCTTAGACGAAGTTCCGCCCATACCTTTATGGCCGCCCTTTCGAAGTCGTCACGGACCACCACGCTCTACGCTGGCTATCATCGCTCAAAGACCCGTTGGGCGATGATCGGCGGAATGACACGTCTGAAGGTTGGAGGTGGCTGTTAGTGATACCCAACCACATGCGCTCGGAAATCTGTACTGCTTTCCACAACGACCCGCAAAGCGCTCACGCCGGCGTTCTCAAAACGTACAACCGTCTACATCAGCGGTACTACTGGCGCGGCATGTACACATTTGTCCGCAAGTACGTACGTGCTTGTGCTGCATGCCAGCGACGTAAAGCCCCACCTCAACGTCCTGCCGGTACACTTGAGCCTCTGCCTTGTCCAGCGTGTCCATTTGACCGTGTCGGTATCGACTTATACGGATCAATTCTTACGTGGTCTTCCAGAAATAGGTGGATAATTGTCGGCATGGACCACCTCACGCGTTACGCGGAGACGGCAGCACTACCCGCAGCAACCGCGAGGGAAGTTGCGTTTTTTATCTTGCGCAACTTTGTTCTTCGCCATGGAGCTCCCCGCGAACTTTTGAGCGACTGGGGGCGTGTTTTTTTGTCTGACGCCATTCAAGCCTTGCTCGCTCAGTGCAACATGGTTCATCGCATGACGAC